TATTCACAAATGTTCTTCCCAATCATGTATATGATGAATAGGGAACATCAATCAGATTATGAAGTGTGAACCGTCACTAATGCATTTATATATACAATAAAAAAAGAAATTAAAAGCTATGTTTAGATAATTACATAGTCCACAAAAAGAAATAAATATCTTTGGTTGCTCTACGATTAAACACGTCCTTTCGAAATTCACAATCCACACTCTTCCACAAATTGCATCAAACCTATCTTTGTCTTTGTGTTTGGTTTCGGAGACATACATCATTATGTCTTCTTTCGATAGTAACAACTCAAGGGTAATTCCGCCATTTTAAGCTACTATTACCAGAGGTCCAAATCCAGTTGTGTTCGAGTTTATCTTCTTTGATTGTCTTTATTTTGACCCCGGTCAAAAATTGCTGTTCCCATTTTAATCTATAACGTGAATTTCCTTTTTCCGTTAAACTATAGTTTTGATGACTATTCTTTGGATGTTCCAAGCTTCAATGTTTTCGGCTTACATAGTATCCAACGTTCTAGATTTAATGGTCTAAGGCAGTTTTCTTTGATGTAAATCATTTTCTTACTTATATATATGGTGTCGAACTTCATATACACCAGCTAAACAAGTGGTCTAATAGTTTAAATTTAAAAGTATCGTGGTCTAATATTTTATTGTGATTTTGATTATCTTGTCTATTGTATTCTGTATATAACTTAAATGATATTATCAACATAACAATCCCCATGCCTATTCTCTAAAAGTTTGATTGATGAGGTTTCTACAACTTTAAAAGCACTTTATCATAATGTAAATGAATTATATGTGGTTGGATCTTACTAAAATGTATGGGCAGCTGCATTTTCTCTTCTTGTATTTGTTTTAAGGAACAATTGCAAAAATGTCATTTTTGGTGTCAATTTTAATTATTTTTACTCTAAACTACAATTATAACATTTTAGAGTTGTAGACTTTTTTGTTCCACAGAAAATTAAAAATTTAGTCATAATTTGAGAACTGAAACCTACAGTTTTTAAATTGGTATGAGTTAGAATTTATGTTACAAAAAAACATCATGAATCGCTGAAATACTTATATTACCAAATCAATTCTGAAAATTTCTAATGTTTGAACTTAAAAGATCTCCATAAAACATGTGTCAGTCACTGTCCGATCTAATTGAATTGCAATATCTAAGCAATAAATCTGTAATGTCGACATTACACAGTAATACAGTATACATATCATTTGGCATCCAAATTATTGAAATCAATCTTTTAAAGTAATTTTTATCCAAAAAAAGAAAAAAAAATTAGAAAGACAAAAAAAGTAGAGGAAAAAAACAAAAGTCAAAGGGTCCATGATGATGAATGGAAGACAGTACTACCATCCCTCCCTTGCCCCATCTCTACTGCCTCACGTGCCTTTGCCCTCTGCAAAATATTTATTAATAATCAAATAACAACCATTTTTTAAATAAATAATTAATCACATGTTCTAAACACAACTAATAAAACGTTAAGAAGCTATTTATTAGAAGAAATTGAATAAAAATTCAAGATTCTGTTACCTGCATGGAATCGACAGCATCAGTCTCTGAGTTAAAGTCGTAATACGAACTTGCTGCTGTAAGCTTCATAGATAAAAACTGATCCATATAATTAAAAAAAAAACAAATCAGTAATTATTGAATTGAACAAATGGAAATGATTAGGTAATCTGTAACAAGTTATACCTCGACTTGATTTTGCAAGGACTGGACGTAATTTATTATCTCGTCCAGCATCGTAGCCATTCCCATGGTCTACATCACAAAATATATATTCAATCAAAAGAGGCTAAATAAATTGTTTTAGCCTAAACAAAATAATTTGATAAGATTAATTAACAAAAACACACACAATATTTTGATTTAAGGTTCTCATAATAATCACCTTATAACATCCGGGGACTATATCTTGCAAGCATTTCAATCTCTCGTTTATTTTCCCTCGTCGAACCTGAAATTCAATATGAAAATCTATCTAATCACACTCATATTAAATATGATTATAATTAATAGTCTCGAAAATTCAATATATTTGATTAGGTAATCAATTTTATACCCGCTCAGCTAAGCTGTGACTATCAGTGGCTTGGCCTCTTTTAGCTCTAACATGAACAACT